TGATGATTTATGGAAAAATTGCAATAAAAATAATTGTATTATCAACAAACAAATCAACGAAGCAGATGAAGTTAATAAAAAGTCATCCTCATCATCTTCAACAGCTCAATCACAATTGGATCTGTCTCTTATACACATCTAGATGTGTATAAGAGACAGCCCATATATGACACATCCTCAAGCAGTTTATACAAGTAGACTTTTAGATTTTAAAAATCTTCCAGAACCAAAAAATGCCGATAGTAATGATGGAGAATATTCAGGCTGTCTCTTATACACATCTAGATGTGTATAACCTATTAAAACAATTCTTAACGAAATTCTCCATCAAAAAAAATCTCACTTCAGTTGTTAAAAAATTTTCTAACGAAATTATCTATCAAAAAAATCTTCCCTTTAAAAAAATTCTCCAAAGAATTTTCTACAAAAAAAAAAAATCTCAATGGATTCTCCATTAAAAAAAAAAATCTCTCCTGTTAAAAAAAATTGTTCCAACAAATTAGGTATATGTCAAACCAATGAAATTTCTATCAAATAAAATTTTTTAACGAAATTATCTATCCCTATCAATGAAAAAAATTCTCTAACGAAATTTTATCAAAAAAAAGCCTTTGCTTATATTAAAAATAAAATTCTCTACAAAAATTGTTTTATAAAAAAAAAAGCCAATAAAATAAAATAAAAATTCGTGTAAAAACTACGCTAAACTTAAAAACATGTGACCGACAAAATATCAACCCTGTGCTGACAAAGAAACTAATTTTTGACAAAGATAAAATTATCGAGTATAGTTGGATTAAATCAAACACAGTTGGACAAAAACATCAAGCACAGACGGACAAAAATATCAAGCACAGATGGATAAAAACATAAAGCATGGATGGATAAAAATGTCAAGCATGGTCGGATAAAACCATCAAGCACGTACAGATCTGTCTCTTATACACATCTAGATGTGTATAAGAGACAGGTTTTTTATCTTCCTATTAAAGAAAAATTCTTTAATGGAATTCTCTATCAAAGACAATCCCCCTATTAAGAAAAAAATTCTCTAATAAAATCCCCCGTCAAAAAATACTTTCACCTATTACAAAAAATTCCAAAAGAAATTCTTTATTAAGAAAAACTCCCTCCTATTAAAACAATTCTTAACGAAATTCTCCATC